CTTTCAACTTTCTGCTGCATTCCCACCATTGCTTTATCCATGAATAGCATTATCAATGGTCACAGAGCAAGATTAATAGTAGGGATAGGGCTGGCTGAATTAGCCTCTGAGAGATTATAATACACACTGGAAGAGCTCACACCAATCACATTTACTGTGTCTCTTTCGCATTTTCCGCATTTTTCCGCAAATATAATAAGGAGAAGTATACATGGGCCACACTGCTAATGATGGCTTTCAAATACAAATGACCAATTTGTTCGTCACAATACACTCCTTTTAACTGAGAGCACAGTGCGCAGTGGCTCTGCTTGTAGCGTCTCTAGGAGCAGGACTGTTCCATTCCCAGCTGCCAGTGTTGTTTCACACATTATTTGCAGAATATCTGCTTCTTCACATTCTCTCATATTTTGTCATAAGCTACTGCAGCTTATGACAAAATATGACAGAATGTGAAGAAGTAGCTGTTTAATTGGGCATGCAGCAACAAGGTATCTCAGTCTGATGGGATACAATGTGCATCAATAAGTGATGATGTTCTATGGGCCTGTAAAACCCACCGTGCTCACTGACACTGTGTTCACGCACATGTGGAGATGCCTGTCGGGTTTGTATTTGTGCATAGCTTTTGTTCTGCACAGTCCTGTATGTATTTAGCTGTTGTGTTTCTAAGTGGATGTTTATGTGAATCTCTCTATTACAAAGCCCAGTGTTCCCTGTACACGGGTTATTAGGAACAAGTATTTTCTTATTTAATACTTTTTTTTTCTAATTCCCTAACGTTTAAATAGCTCTTCTGATGAATCTTCTGTTCAGGATGTGTCAGCTTTAACAGATGGGAAATGTTAAACTATCACACCACAGGCTACAAGGAGCAAATGGAAATGATTTGACTGCATGAATGATGAACATAATTCCAGTATCCAGTAGCATTCAGTGTCAATGCATGAAGTGGTGTCCCTTTATGTAGCAATGTTGAGGTGTTGGATGGGCACATCCAACCGTAAGTTGAAGCCTATATTACAATCCAAGAGTTAATATATCCTTTTTTCAAAGATACAATAACCATAACCTTTCTCTAGCCCTGACCAAGTATTCTAGCTGCCTAACCGTAACCATGCCTTAAACAAATCTGTACTGTAGAAAGAAAAATGTTCGTACTGTGAGTACCTGCAGAACACCTGCAGAACACATTGACAGTGTATTTCATTTGTTTTCAAGCACTATTCACTTGTGGCAAATTAAGCATGACTTACATTTTTACATATGATTGTTTACCGTTTTGTTGCCTTAAGATGTATTTTTCAGCATTGGGTTGTACCTAGCTCCACCCCTTTGTGTCACCTCTGGTTGCAGAAAGCAGGATGTTGTCACATTTCAGGCCTGTCTTGGCATATATAAATAATATTCTTGCTCGGCAGTGTTTCCATATTCAGTCATGAAATCAGCAACACATTTTAAAGATGAGTCTCATTCTCTTGTTCCTACTTTTTGTTTTGTGGAGAATATTTAGAGTTAACAGTCTGAAAATCACATCTATCGCATTCTTTTTAAGGATCAGCTTTCCTTTCATGGGTCACACAGTTTATCATTCATCTATGTATGCATCTTTGCATTCATTATATTTACCTTATTACTTATTACATACTCAGTCAAACCCTATGCAGTGAAATTGTTTTACATGGTGTCCACATGTTCAGCTACAGTTCTTATAATCACAGTATGAGGATAAAGCTGCACATGGCAATATCTATATGAAAATCTCTAGAAATCCATCTGTTTGATCAAGTTGCTTTAGAAATGTAGGCCTGGAACACACAAGTCGAATCCTCACTAGAAATTTAGATTTTGAATTGTTTTCCAAAGTGATTGATCACTTTCTATGTCAAGATGTACCCTGTACTCGACACATTAGAATAAACTTGGATCCTAATCCTGATTAGTTACCAACCAGTTTACTCGAAAGCCATATTTGCTGTAATACAGTAAGTCAGCAAGCCGAGAAATTTGCATAGACCTTTTGCTTCACATAAAACAGAGGTATTAGCATTGTTAGCAAAAACCTGTGTCCGGCTTTACTGATGTTGGGAATTTTTCAGTGGCCGTGGGAATTTTGACAGGAGTAGAGGAGGAAATCAGGTGACGTTATTATATCGACTGTCTGCGAAGGGAGGAGGTCACGGGGGATGAGTGGTTCAACAAAACTTGAATCCAGGGGACTGCCATTCTTTTCCTATTTCAAATCCTAATTTAAAGTTGGCATGTCCACAATCGTATATAGTCTTAACCACATTGCTATTACTGTAACTATTATAGCAAAATAATGATTTTAACCCATACCACAATGTTTTCCGAGACCTAACCTAGACATTTATGCGCCAAAACTTAGCCAGCATTGTCACGTCATAAAAATTATTTAGTCTCAATGAACCTTTGTATAACTAGGGGAGTCCCATTGAGATGAAGAATGTCTTTTCCAAGGGCGACCTGGCCAAGACGGACAGCAGCTTAAAAACAAATAGTTACAGACTGAAAACACAAAAGGAGGCAAAAATTATAAGACACTAGAAATAAGCATAGGGAACTCACATTTCAACAGAAACATTTAAAAGAGACAGTTTCGTAACCAAGTAAATTTATAAACATTGACATCTTCAGAAACATTAAAAGCATTTTGCAGGTATTCAATGGCCATTATCAGTACATCAGTATAGAACAGTGTCATCTGCATGAACATGAAAAGTAGCATCTGACACACTTTGCTTTTTACTTAATTTTAAAATTAAGAAGCATCATATATTCTTTTAGTCTTGTCAAACCAACATTATTGTTTGTCGAAACACTCCACTGACGGTCCACTTATTCTGGTTTTAATCACAAGGTCTTCATCAGCCAATTAAGTTGGCTTGGTTGTCATGAAAGTCTGCATGTCCATATTCATATTATTCGGAGAACATTTAGGACCTCTTATCTATCTTAGTTAGTTTTAGCTTGACAGTTCATTCTCGATCAATAATGAACCTGTCTTCTAAAGTTCATTCTTGCATAACCATGTATTGTCAACGCATTCTCACTTCCAACTCGTCAAAAAACAGCTTATTTGTTTAGTTAGGTTTTTGTCTAAACCTAAGAAGTTTTTCCTGTAAAAACTACCCAAGCCCACAATACATGACATGATCTCGCATGCAAATAGTGTATTTCAGGACAGCACTGTTACACACTGAAGAATAGAGAGGAACATTGTTGCCTGCCATGTGTACCCATTGATCCTCAAAATGGTTTCTAATAGTTAAACATACAAAGTTGTACCAATTCAGCCTGAACTGAGCAACTGGTATTGGGTTGAATCCCTGGTCAGTCGGCCCTATAATACAGCTGGCAGTGTTGGTTGGGGGAAGCCATTGGGGGATCATGTCCTTGTCGAACTAGTAACTCCAACTGGATGGTATCGACATTTCTCCTTCTGTCTACTCCCTCCTCTGTCCAAGAGTTGGAGTTAGCAGCAACATGAAATTGGACCATCTAAATTGGGGAAATAGATAAGGAACAAATAGGAATTACCTTATATCTTGCATCTTTAAAACCAGATGCCTTGGAACGGTTCAGCCACAAGACATGCTGTATTTTGAGAGAGGTACATCTTGTGCTTTGCCTCAATGAAAAAAGGCCCACTGTAATGCTACCATCATTATCTCTGTGCCTTTTGCTGTCTGTATCTGTATGTACAATAAGCATGGACCAGTAGCTGTGGGAATTACACTGACAATTCTCACCATTTAGTGAGTAGTATTAGTGTGTCTTTATAAGTCTAGAGGTCGTGTCCAATCACAAAACCTGCATCATAGGGTTTTACTCACCTTATATTGCCATGACTACAATATTTTCCTAACCCTAGCCTTACCAGTAATGGTTGCCATATGCAGATAGTATAGAAAGAGAGAATCTTAAAAATGTTGGCATTAAACATTTTAACAAGACTAAAACTCCAAGTATCTAGTTGCTAATGAAAATGGTAATATGCTCATAATAATAGTGCCATAATGCGGATGCTGAGAAGGTATAATGTAGAGTATGTTCACCATCTTACTTTAGCATGTTACATAAGATGATTAGCTTGAAGCACAAAGTATAGCTGAGGTTCATGGAAATAGTTTTGCAGGTGTTTGAACGAACAAATTGAATGAAACAATACCTGATGATGGCACTCAATGAAAAGTCAGGGGATCACCAAAGTTATTAGGATTCATCATCTGGGCAGCATGGATATATGTACCACATTAAATGGCAATCCATCTTATAGGTGTTCAAATATTTCAGTCTTGACCAAATTGCTGCACCAACCATCTGACCGATGTTGCCATCCCTCGAGCCGTGGCGCTAGCATGAACAGTGAATGTAATCTTGCAAAACTGTCCAGTATTGAGGTTTTGTCTGGAGATTGGGTTGTAAACGAAGAGACTGTAGAAAGGCATTAGGGAAAACACTGGCCATTGCTAATGTAGAAGTAGATGAGAGAATGCATACGCCTATATATGTAAACACGTTATACAAAATATACTGTTTAAATGTGCAAGATTTTATAGATTGATGATGTAAAAATGTGATGTTTGAAATGTAGAAAATCTTGTCATACACCTGTATGCATAACAAGCCCTGCATGAGCAACAACAACCACAAATCGACCACTGATGCATTCTGACACTATGTTGAGTGATTCCACGCCTTCACACTTTACACTACTACACAGCCTATGGACCTGCACCTCCCTCCATCCTACCTCTTCCCCTGTTCCCATCCAGCATTCTCTCCATTCCCAGCCTGCTACACTGTATATTTCACCATTTCCCCTATGGCAGCCCTGAACTGCTGGTGGTGATGGGGGGAGGATACAAAATGAGGCTGCCCACAGGGAGAACAGGCTTGTTCACTTGCCCATAACATTTGGACTGGGGAAGCGGTCTGAAACCCATTCTGTTCCTTTTTTCTATTTCCCTCTGCAGAGGTCCTTCTGCAGTGCCATGGTGGACGAGCTGCGGGTTTCCCTCAAGTGCCAGCGCCGGCTCAAACACAAGCCTCAGCCGCCTGTCATGGTGAAAACGGAGGAGGTCATCAACATGCACACCTTCAACGACCGCAGACTGCCAGGGAAAGAGACCATGGCCTAAAATCGGAATCGCAATCACTTTATCACCCTCTCTCCTGCAGAGAGGTGTGCAGAGACACTGGGGAAAAGGGTGGGGGTAAATGGTAAGGGGGGGGCATTGGGTTGTAATGGTTGACAGTTGGGTTATTTCTAAGGTAGCGCTAAGGTGCTTGGGAGTGTATTGACAAAATATCACTTTTTTCTTTTAAATAGCTAGGTATAAATGATTCAACAATATTTCCTGTGGAAATAACTTGGACCTGGGTGAAATTTCAGCGAGTTACCTCAGTACGCTTACCACCTTGGCAAGGCGCCCGACTACAGGTGCCAAGATTTTCAAAACCCAGGAGTCGAAGAGAGAGGGTCTGGAAATGCATTTAAAGTGGGAGAGAGAGGAAGGCCCATAAAAGATAAAGAAACAAATAAATCATCAGACCTATCGTCTTTCACTGAACAGCTAAAAACAGGCTGTTCAACAGCTTCTCAGAGATTATGAGCGAATATAGAGATACTAACTGGGGCAATGGGGAGACGATTTGTTTATTCTCAAAAGTTGTGAATAGAGTGACCGCACAGACTCTCAACTCTCTCAGATCAAACTCAAAGCCCGGAAGACAAAGGCGAGCTGCTGCTCCCAAAATGTACAGAGAGACTTGCTTCGTCACATATGATATTGATCGACATCAAAAACGGATATACTGTATGTCATCCATCAGGCAATAAGCGATATCATTTATTTGTGTTTGAGAGTACTAACACTTTGTCTTTAATGTTGGGGGGGGGGGGGTTTATGTGGTGTAGTACAAGCAGAACATGGAGCAGGGGCAATATAGTGAGTTGTTGATGTCTCAGCAAGTAGTCATGACGATCCTATGGAGTTACACACTCTTAATGTCAATAAGGAGGAACTTGGAATGGCGTGGGCACGACACATCAAGTCTAAATTCATAGCAATCACACCACAACACACAAACTCTATTTATTCAAAGTATTTATTGTTTTATTTATGCAACTCCTTATTTATTATCTCAACGGCCTGGATTTCACTACTGCCGTAAATACACCTCACTTCAGCTCTGTATGGGTATACACATGGTTTCGCTCCATTTGCTCAGTGTCAAGTCTCAAGTTTCATTTTGTACTCCTGTGGCTTCTTTTCTTTTCTTTGGCAGTAAAGCTCCACATTTACTTGTGCAAAATGCAATTTCTATGAAAAGGTGTTTTTGTACGGAGAGAATCAAAGTTTTGTAATAATTTGTATCAACACGAAACGCACCATGAGGAGTGTCAACCATGGCAGAGGGGTGATACTCCAGGCCAGTAGTTCAGGAGGCTTGCTGACACTAGACAGAGCCAACACACACACATGCACACAAACACACACCCAATAGTGCAGGGTGCACACACAAACACACACCCAATAGTGCAGGGTGCACACATCCTCCATGGAGCAGATTCACACCAATTAGTACTATTATGGTACTACTACGAGTACAGAGAAGTCTGGTAAGCATCAGTGACATAATGGAGAGAGAGGAAGAACAAAAGAAAGTATTTTTATCATGTAAAGGAATCATATTTAAAGAAAGATATTTTTACTTCACATGAAAGAAGAGTAATGATAATACTGGTTAGATCAAATCTAGTGTTCACACACGGGAAGAGAGGAAGACTGCTGATGATGCCTATCATTCTACACCCCCGATTACTGATAGACTGCTAGAGTCCAGTGCTGAGCAATTGTGTGTAAATGGTTTTAAAATGGAAAAAGATGTATTTAAAAAAAAAAGAACACTTAACTAATTTTGAACTTGTTGTGAAACAAAATGGAGTGCACACAGTTTACCCTTTGAAGTTGATGCACAAGTTTAAAGAAAATAAAAAAGTATTCACAACTTCTACCTCATCTGCCTCATTATTGAATGTTAGAGCATGAATGAAACATGGCGAGAGTGTAGACACTAAGACACAGCCAGCAGAAATGCCCACGTGGGTCATTAAATAATGGGACGGAAGCTTGACTTTATTTCAATAACCCCATTAGGCTGTAAGTTCAACCACTATCTAATGTATAGTGTGTATGCAGACATACCCATTCCCACTCTGCTAAATTGCAGGGTTTCCAACATTCAAAACAATGCCTGCACAGCGCTGCTGCTTGATTGACATTTCCCCGTTAGCTTTTCTGCACCTCTTAGAGCAGGGAATGTTATCGTTGTCATGTACATGGAGCCAAGTATTACTCCTACTACATTCAAATTGAGCTGAGTTCTAATCATCCAGTACACCTGTGTGCCTCTTCAGGTCCATAAGTTTAACAACTATGATAAATATTCATGCTTTCAAACAATTATTGACATGCCAATGAAAGTAAGGTCCACAAATATTTGACCTCTGTCGCCAGCGTGTGATAAAAATAATGTCATATGAGCAAGCGTTCTCAAGACCCATGTGCCCCTTATTGTTTTCATTGGCAGTATGTGGGCTAATTATTCGGTCAAGGTGGACAACAGATGGGCAAGTGGGATAAATCTTAGATGTGTACATATTTAATTGATAAGCTTGTAGACCAAGTCATTAACACAAATAAATGGATACCAGAAGGGCTCATGTAGGCCTTAGGATTATTGCTAATATTGGTCCCACTTGTAAGGCCTCTCATGACTCACATTAGTGTGGAATGTAGTGGAGTGGAATGTAGTGGAGTCCACTGCAGCTTCAAAAGCAAAAAAGGAAATGATAAAGTATTACGATGCATGCTCAATTTGTTGTTTGGTTGTGTACTTTTCTCAATCAATAACTGAATCACAGACTCTCTTATCACAATACTCTACACACTTTACCCATTGTTTTGTTAATCTGTCAGATTTTTGACAAATAACACCAAATACCACCGCTCGGCCGTCCACTGGATACGGTGGAGGTGGTGATGAAACAGGAGGATGATGGCTAAACTATCATCCCTGATGAACAACACCTCCCACCCCATGTGGGATGACTTGGCAGCTCTGTGCAGCTCCTTCAGCCACCGATTCACCCCTGGTGTGTGGAGAGGTACCGCAGGTCCTTCCTTCCTGCTGCTGTCAGGCTGCACAAGCAGCTGTGCTCCCAGTAGACCACCCAACACAACACTATAAAAAAATCGGTGCAATAATTATACTATGCAATAAAAAATACTCTGTCTGTATATATAATATTTTATTTTATTTTTAGTTATATTTAGTTATTGTGGATTTTTGTACTTTTTTTACTTAGTTGATATTCTTTACTGTTTATTACTTACTTATAGTACTTGCTGCTTTTGTTTCTTTTTAACCATGTATCTTGTGTTCACTGTCCACTTTGCTGCTGTGTTCTGTAAATTTCCCCACTGCGGGACTAATAAAGGATTATCTTATTTCATCTTATCTTAGGTCAGTGCCCCTTGGCATCAGAGATTGACGCACTATGTACCCCTCTAACCTTTTTCAACGCACGGGCGCAGCATGTCAATACATGCTGGTTACATGCATAGTGTCCTTTCAAAATAAACATCCGCTTCACAGTAGGTGAAGTTATGTTTAGGCAACAAAACCACTTATTTAGGTTTCGGAAAAGAGCGTGGTTGACATTAATTTTACTTTTTTGCGACTCACTTCGCACAACTCTTTTCACTTTTAGTTTCACTCAAGACACAAACTCAAACACCATTGTCTTGGCAAAAAATCTTGTTTGTTTGACCCATCGGCCACCCCTCCCCCGCCCTAAATTGACTCAAACTGACTTTATACGTCACATACAGCCGCTAAAGGGGGCCTCCGTGCGGTTCGATTTCCGATGCCAAGAGGCACCGACCAAACACTGACAATTTGGTAGTGAGAGTGCATTGGATGTGAAACCAAATGTATTCCATCATCCTCTAATATTGTGGAAAGCACTGTGAACTGGTTGCATAATTGGAAATTCGCTCATTAAACCACCTCACTCAGCAGAGACCGAACCACTTGACAAGGTTACTGTGTAACCAATCCGTGACCTCTGTCAGGGACTCCAGTCAATGTTAGCCACAATGACTCAGCAAAATGGCATCCAATCAGATTAAAGCGCCCATCCTCCTTGCCCTGACCCCCAAGGCGGCACGGATCCGAGGAAAGGAAGCTGTGGGAGATGCAGCCAAAGATTAGGTTAAACGCATTTGTATTTTGTCAGTCCTGCTGGTCTGGAGAGGACTGTACCCTTATCTGCTTGACCTCAGGGTTTGGCGGTTAACTTCCTGTGTGTCTGGCAGCAGAGTGACCCCAGCATTATAGCTCCATCAGTGCATATTTGTGCTATGTACAGCTGAATGTGCTCAATGACCTTTATGATAATGTTTGACAGAGAGCAGGGGTTCTGACAAGAAGAGATACAGGAAATACTGAATTCACGCTTTTCACTTTTTGGTCTCCCAAAAGGGATTATTTTGCATTAATATTACAGTTGTATTTTATGTGAATCATGGACCTACTCTTGGATTGGATGCAGGGGCATATTTAAAAAAATATATTTGTTTTAATTTCATATGTGAAATGCACAATTTCCACCCATTCAGTACAGGCACTTGACAGGATGGTAACAACTTGTAATGCAGCAGTCAGTTTGCAATTCACAGAACTCTTTACTAACTATGCTGTAGTAATATCAAACTATACCCAAAAGCAAGACCAAACATACATGACCTATCATGAAGTTTAAAAAGCAGACCTGCACTTATTAAACCCATGTTATGGAATATTTGAAATGTTCAAAAGGCAAACTTAATTTTTTTATGAAGATGATAAGAGTGGTACATGTTCATGTATATCTGTATACAAATAATGCAGCTACCTATTTGTGCTGAGTGCAAAGTTTTTTCCTTCCATAAATCAACCAACTATATTTTGGTGAAAGTTGAATGGGGCATGTTTACTCTGGCGGTCATCCAAGATTCATGGAACCATAGTTACATGGCATTTTTGGAATATGTGAATGAGTTTATGCTTTAACGGGGAGTTGCATTTCTCATGAAAGATTGCCAGATCTCCACATCTGAGAAATATGTGTTCAACCATTTTCCTGGTCCTCCAGTACTCTCATTACATGTCATGAATACAA